TTGCTTTACAAATATAATAGGCAATTAATTAATTATTTATTAGACTTTTTTACGTAAATAATGCCCACCTGTTGTAACCTGAGTTTCCTTTAATTTTTTATTGGAATGTCTTCTTTTATTCCAAAGTTCAACCAAAGCTCTTCGAAAATTTTGGCCACTGACACAGTAAAGTACGAAATTTATTCCAAAATGTGTGTTGTACATTTGATTTGCAATGACTTGTATAGTTTTGTACTTTGCTGATGTTATCTAAAAATAAATTAATGTAACTTTGTAATAGAATTTTTTAATTTTCATTCAGTGATTAACTAAAATAATTGATATTTTTAAGATATAGGTACATATATATTTATTTATTTTTCATTGTAATTATCCTCAAATAATAAGTTACCTATATATTTTATAAATACATTTATAAGACAGTCTAATTGATTGCATAATTATATAAATTTCTAATATGCCTTTAAACCAATTATAAAAATGTCCATTATAAATCAAGCATAAATAGCTATAAATATACAAAAATGTATTACTCACATTATCCCATACCATCCATACTCGGAATACGTATGATGGCAGATTCAGACACAAGAACACTGTAGACACAACTAATAGCATTTCTGTGACTTTTATTTGAGATGTGTGTTGTGAGTTTTGTGATGTAGATTGTCTTCTTCTAGATGGGTGAAGTGTCATTGTTCGTCTTATTCTGGCTAACCGACATACAGATTGACAAATCATGCTATTGAATATGACGATCAGGAAAAATGGTATCATCATATTCATCAATACGTCTGCATAGTTTAGCCACGTATATAATTCGTACCACGAAAAGTTCAAGCTACATTCTGTCGTTGTTGAGTTACTATTCATAAAATTATTAATTAGGACGTTATAACAAATTGTTATTTATACTATTAAAAAATGCATTCATTTTATTATTATGAAACTAAACATTTGGTATCTAGTATTCTAGTACTACATAACAATTGTTGAGCTTTTCTTTCGCCCAAAAACGTATAAMGAAAAAAAGTTTTAAATTTTAAAAATAATTAATCTAAATATATTTTATAAATTATGACTTAATATTTTAAGAAACACGGCAATTTAATTTTAAAATAATTTATATTTTTTGAAAATAAATATCCAATCTGTTTTTATAATGATTTGATTTTATACAATACTCACTTTTCTAAGAGTGTTTCGTTAGGTCCTGAAATCACTAAATACGGTATATGTACTATTAATGCAAACGTGATTAATATGCTTAGTACAATTTTAGCTCTGTATACTGTGCATATCACTGATCTGTGTAATGGATATCGTACAGCTATAAAACGTTCTGATGTAAACACTACAACTAGCCATACGCTAATAAAACTACATATCTATATATATAAAAAAAACA